AAGAAAAAACTAAATTTCTGGCTGACGTTTGTAATTTCGGCGCCATGTTATTTTCTTTGAAAAGTAAACAACGAATATGAAAACGAAGCATAAAGAAAAAAAGGCAAGTAATTTTGTAGCACATATTTGTGCTAACCAATTTATTATTTTTGTAAGTGTTTTTGCAACCAATCACCGCGTACTTCATTTTAATAAGATTTGCACAAAAAATATTTTGAAAATGGCTTAAAAATTACTGGAATAAACCACCGACAAAATACACGTAAAGAAAGAAGCAAAAAAGAAATAGTTAACTTCAAAATTACGAACGTCACACACTTTTTTCTCAATTGCTATTACAAATGGCTGCTTCTCAACCGGTAAGATCTGTTCTAATTGGTTCATGACCTAGCCCCATGAGCTAGGTAAAATTCTAACTTTCCTATTCACCACGAGAAATGTCAAATTTTTACTTTGATCCGTCAAAATTTCCCTTTTTCTATCAATTGGCACAGGCCCTTAGAGAGAAAATATTCATTCCTATGCAGAATAACTTATAGCTAGAATGCACCGAACGTCTCATCGCGTATTTCGCTTTTTTTATTTCGGCACAGACGATATCACATATCGCTTCTGCGTTAGCTGTGTCAACTAAACAAAATGGATAGAGTAGACCCGCACGCAAGGTATTTTTGCTCTCGTTCACAACTTAAAATGCTGTATGAAAATCGGTTTTCAACGTGTCCGTGTATAAAAAATTTCAACCAAAAATACTACTGGCGATCGTGGACATAGGTTTAAGAGGTCTCTTTCTTATAACTTCTGAAGCTACCAATTTGTTGAGCGTGCGTTTATGGCCGTTAAGTATTTTAGGAATTAGCCTCAGTGTATTATGAGTTAAAGCTCAGTTAGTCAACGACGAAGCGTAAACGTAGGTTGACGTACGTAGCAGCATATCAAATTTACTGTTGATAGAGAGAGAGAAGCTATGGCAACGTCACCGCCATGCGGTGGTGAAATTTCGTTAACACGTGGAGCCCATAAGATAGATCGTGTCTGCGTCAACCTACGTCTACGCTACGTCGTTGACTGGTTGCGCTTTTGCTCGTTCTTGTGAGGACTTCGTACCGAAATTTCTTTACGAGTTCGTGTCAACCACTTCATATGATTTTCTTTGAATATTCGTAAAAAATTCGTTACAGAAATGAGATACTCCTAAAGATTTCGTTAATCTTTCGGGAACTTTGGTTTGCAGGTTTTATATTACATTTATATATGCACACATGTTTAATGAGATCAGCAAAAATTCGGTAGTCTTGGTTTTCGAGGAACGACGTTTCGATAAAAATAATAAAAAACAAAAACAAATCAGCGAAAAAACTACCAAACATCCAAATTCGAAAATGTTAAAAATAAAAACAAGTTTGGTTGGAAACAAGAACAGTGGCAATCATGCTCTAATTATGCCAAGAGCGCCATCTAGTCAACTACTAGCTGTCATTTGATTAAGTTTGCTTGACAGCTGTACGACGGAGACACGTATTACCTTGTTTAATTTTGTACGCTTTATTTTTCTTTCACGCAGAAAATGAAAATAAATTGTTGGAAAATAAGAAAGATAAATATTTACTCCATATAAGAAATAATCAATTTAATTATCAAAGTTACAATAAACACTCGACTTGTATGTCAACAGCTGCTGCGTGAGTAGCGAAAGTGCAAAGAACAACGAATGTATTTGCGTATGTATATATATGCGTAAGCGTAGATTGATGAATGTTCAACATTCATTGTTGTGAATTTTATTGACAACACATCAAATTAGAAAGGAAAGCAATAGAGGAGAGTTGCTAGGACGAAACGCCCATAGCCCCATTCGTAGATTATGAGATGCCAACACGACGTCGTCATTACCAACCAGATACTACAAAGTTCGATGCAGGATCGTATGTGGAGACCACACCACTAGTTGCACCTCAAGGTCAACAGCAACAACAACAACAACAGTACAAAAATCCGCTATTTGGCGGAGCTGTTGCTCCAACAGTCAGTGGTAACGATTCATTCGGTGGGAGTGGTGTACTGGAGTCAACCATTTTGATTGGCGACTACGCGCAGCCAAACACCAACGGTCAACAATATAACTTTAGCAATAATAATAATTCGGCAGTAGATCCAGACGATAAGTACACCAAGGCAAGTAGACAGTGGAATCTTCGCTCGATATCCACACGTTTACAGGCCAGTTCTGGCCAAGCTATACGCAACTTTATACAACAACCATTAAGTGCTGCGGCCGCCGTTGTAACTGGGAATCATCATTCGCAAGACTATAGCGGCTATAATCAAATCAGTCCATACGCAAACACACCACAAAACGTTGAAGAAATAGAAGAGGAAGACTTATTCGAAAAAGAAGAAATTTTCATTATGGCATCACGAGATCGAACGGGAGAGTTTAATAATGCGATACGTTCGCTGCAGTCGCGTAATATAACTCGCGCTGTTAATATACGCGACCCGCGCAAGGCGAAAGAGGTTCAAAGTTACTCGGAATTTATGATGGTCGCAAAATATATTGGCAAAAACATAGCAAGTGCATATGCCAAGTTGGAAAAATTGACAATGCGTGAGTATAAAATGAATAAGTGTTCTTAATTATAAATATTACTTTAACTTTTCTTTTGCAGTGGCCAAAAAGAAGAGTCTTTTTGATGATCGACCGCAAGAGATTCAAGAATTGACTTATATCATTAAAGGCGATCTAAACGCGCTCAACCAACAAATTGCTCGTCTTCAAGAAATTTCGAAAGATCAGCGTCGTACCAGCTCTGGAAAACACTTGCAATTACATTCCTCGAACATGGTGTATGCTTTACAATCTAAATTAGCCAGCATGGGCACCGACTTCAAGCAGATACTAGAAGTGCGTACAGAAAATCTCAAACAACAAAAAGCGCGTCGGGATCAATTCGGGCAGTCACCAATCGCTGCTAGCACTGTTCGCTCGAGTACAGCGAAACAGGGCTCGTTGCTGTTAAGCGAAGAGAATACGGCCGTAAGTATTGACATGGCCGCAAGTGATACAACACCATTGCTGGGTGCAGTTGGAGGTAGTGGAATACAGACGCAGCAGCAGATTGCATTATATGATGACTCCGATAGTTACGTGCAACAGCGGGCTGAGACCATGCAGAACATTGAATCGACTATTGTCGAGCTAGGCGGTATATTTCAACAATTAGCACATATGGTTAAGGAGCAAGAGGAGACTGTGGAGCGTATCGACACAAACATACAAGATGCCGAATTGAACATAGAAGCGGCGCATAGTGAAATATTAAAGTACTTCCAAAGTGTTTCGAAGAATCGCTGGCTGATGATAAAAATATTCGCAGTACTGATATTCTTTTTCATATTCTTCGTAGTTTTCCTTACATAATAACAAATATGTTTGTAACACGGCGAGTTTTTAACAAAGTTCGGAGGCGCGGTCTTTAAGTTGTGGGTTTTTAAAAACAGAAATATATAATATCCTATTCATATACATACATATATATATCACTAATATAATAATGAAATTAAGACCCCTATTGCGAATGTCAAATAGTAGTAAGCGACTTTTAGTCGATTATCGATTATCCGCGGTATTTTCAAAGTCGTTTTTTCGTTCAATAAGTGCGTGTGAATAGTTTATAGTCGCTCATCCTTCTACAAACAAAAAGTTATGGAAAAATGAGCGATAAAAAACTATTCACAGTCGCTTATTGAACGAGAAATCGACATGCACAATACCATGGAAAAGCGATAATCGAATAAGAGTCGTCTATCTACTACTAGTTGACACTGGCAATAGCGGTCTAAGTCTTTTATGCCACGTGAAAAACGATAGCTTTTAGAAGCAGCCACGTAGGGTAATTCTGCCAGTAATAAAATATTAGTTTCACTTTTTTTTTCAAAATTTTCTATAAAAAGAATTATCCTGTGTAATAAAACGAGAACCGATTTATGTTATCATAAATATATAAAAAGTTTAAAACTAAATAAAATAGAAATTGTTATTGGCGATAAGTACATGTACTTGCTTATTAATAAAGACATTCGACGGATGCTGAGCAAGCCTGATGAAAATATATCGCCGCCGAACTCTATCTGCAAAATGGCAATGGGTCGTGGAATAAAATCTAATAATAAAACATTGGCGCTTACACATATGTTAGTATTTGGCCGAGCTTCTCCTCCGATTTGTGGCGTGCGCCTGATGTGGTCACACAAAGTGGAGGGACCTATAGTTTGACTCCGACTCCGAACGGCGATTATATTTTTATGAGCTCTTTTCATGGCAGAAATGCACTCGGAGATTTGCCATTGCCTGCCGAGGGATGACCGCTGTTAAGAAAAAACCCTTCTTTCTATATTTTTTTGCGATGTTGCTTTGACAAGGGCCTGAACCCACGCGTTGCGGAGTGGAAGTGCGCACTTACCACTACACCACAGCGGCAGAAACCTAAGCAAATGTTTTTTCTTTAAACTTCAGAGATTTTACTCAATTTGTTCAAACAAATTGAAGTGAAAGGTATGCAATTTCAAGAAAAAGCAATTGCTTAGTTTTTATGCATACGGCTTAATATTTCTGGTAGGAAGCAAGAGGTCAGTATGTATAAATAAAAAGCTTTATCAGGGGAACGTGTATATATAGCAAATAAATAAAAAATACATCGTTATGAAATGTTACAGCGAATATATGTATGTAGCGCAAACCCGTTTATTGCATGTGATCTGATGCCGGATTCAATTTATAGGTCTGTGCAATCAAAGAATACTAATTGCGTCAAATTTAGTGAATCCCATTACAGTTATGTTTGTTAACATTTGAACATGTGAAAACTAGGCAGATGCTTTATATAAGCAAACTAAGAGCATTCTGATTAAAATCTTTTCAAAAATGTAAAAAGGCTAGATCGGTTTTTATGACCCCATACTAAGTAACGATATCGGCATATGAATTAAAAGAAGCTAAATCTAAGCATGTATTAAAATACATACATATATTTAAAAATCAGCTGTATGGCTAAAGAAACCAGAGAATGTTAAAACGTTCATTTTATCACTCCCTGCTGGTACGCATAATACTTTTATCTACACGCGATTAGATAGTAAAAAATTAGTTTGTATATTAAAATGTGATAAGTTTTTAATCATGTTGATAAATCTACACATGTTTAATGTACAAAACTGCTAGTGATCAATGCAAGTATTTAAGATGATCACTAAATAGATTTATATTCCATTTTGTTTTAGTTATGTTTGAAAAATCTCAATTTGGGTAGAAGTTCGTTAAATGTATGTATGTACATTTTCTTTTTGATATTATAGACTTTCATTTTCGTGCAACGCATATTTAACTACCAAAAACCAAGCTGTTAATTACTTGGTTTGTTCATATGGCTTGTAGTAAGAGCTGTATTGGTTGCTGTTGTTAATTGTAGCTTTTTGATTTCGAGATCATTAGAATGTGCTTTACCTCTACGTAGATATCAACGCATAAACCATGCTGTGAAATATACAAGAATAAAATTGCTTATAACATGTATATGTAGGCTACATTACATCATCGTACTTACCCATAAATATAGTAGAAGAAAGATATTAGGTAGATAGCCAATTTGATCCAGCCTTCACGCATGTTCTTAGTTAAGTTATCTGTACTCAGTACCGTTGTTGGATCGTATAGTCCTGCGCCTGTCATGACGGGGCGATTCTTGTAGCTATAGTGATTAAAAAAAATAATATCAATATTTATGATATATTTTTAATGCGCCATTTGATTTTCTATGCATGAGAACAGTGACGCGATGATTCATGCACAAATTTTTGCTTGGCATTCGCTTACATTTTTGATTAACTGCAAAAAACAAATGCGCTTAACAATTAAAAAAAAACCAATTTTCGCTTCCATAAGTGAAAAGCACAGGTGCTGCTAATGTAGAAATCTGTACATGCATACATATGTAGTACCACTTACCGCCATATGTGGTATGCGATTAAAGGTATATTAATACACAACGAGAACCATTCGCCACACAGTAGGAACAATAGATTGAGGAAAATATGGAGCAAATATTCCGGCAACACCAACTGAAAATAGAATTAGCATGAATTGCATTATTTTTACTTTTTATTGGTCGAGTTCAGTGACATCTTTTCAAGCTTGACGATTGTAATTTAACTTATATACATATACCACCATTAACTTACAGGATTCAGGCTGTTACATTGATCGATTGGATTCTTATAGTCCGTTTTTAGCTCATCAAAAGCGATTACATGAAATATTGCAAAAAATATTAAGAATGCATCGCCTATCAAAGCGACGATGTAGGTGAAGGCTGTGAAGTTGAAAGCCATTTTTAAGCGGTTACTGTACCAGGTGCGCGACTGGGTCAATCTTTATTCCACGCTGTAACGCTAAATTAATTTGTTGATCTTGGTTAACAAGGCAAACTTTTGATTGATGCAAGAAATAGCAATAAATTGTACCCCAAAATGATTTTTCCACAAGAGTCCAAAATACGAGGGTTTAGCAGATGACACCTTATTTAGCGTTGCCAGACAACCTTTAAAAAAGTAAGATATCAGTGATTTGCACAAAGGAGAAAAACTTAAAAAAATCCGTTTAAGAAATATTTAATAAATTTATAAGGCTTTACATATGTACATGTGTATATACATATCCGCATATATGCAATATGAAAAAAAACCAATAGGAGCGTTCCTTATCTCTCAGAAATAGTCAGAAAAGTCCGAAGTAGTCAGATTTAGTCCAAAAAGCGTTCCTTAAAGGCTCTGTTATGCATACTTGGCATTGCATGCACTGCTATACCATTTTTACGTAGAAATCAAAAACCAACAGACTTTTACGTATGTAATGCTGTGCGTTGGGTAACCGCTTACACGCGAAGCTCATTTAACGGATTCCTTATGTGACAACTCTCAAGCAATGCCAAGTATGCATAACAGAGCCTTAACTCGGAAATGAAAGCAAAAATGAGTGAGCAACAGTCAGTGAGAGTGACTCTCATCAGTCCGAAGTAGTCAGATTTAGTCAGAAGAATTTTTTCTGGCAAAATCCTGAAAAGTGTCAAACTCAACTGAATTTAAATTAACGGAAATTAAAGAATACGCTAAAAGTGAGAATAATCTAAAAAGTAAAAGAAATGAATTGAAACTGGAAGAAGGCAAAAAATAATTGATATAGCAAGTGTTTATTGTGCTTGTGCTTGTGTGAATGTGTTTTGTACATACATTTCTGTTCTTATTTGACGTTAGTTTTGTTGTTGCCATTCTTTGGACTAAAACTTTGGTTTTTTGCGTTCCATTTGCGCATTTTGCTTACGCTCTGGCATTTTGACACTTTTCAGATTTTAGTCCAAAAAGATAAGGAATGAACCTATAAGTTGAATTGTTCTACGACTCATTGCATGAGTACTGGGTACTTGTATTCGTTTACTCACATGCAACTCTACATTAATTAATGCGAAACGGAACAGCTGACTTTGACAACCACCCCAAAAAAAGGGTTAAAGAACAATAAACCCCATCTGGCTGAAAATAAGCTTTTCTTCTCAAAGGAAAATTTTAAATTGGAGTTAAAATAGAAAATTTGATATATTCAAGTATTTGAGTTATGTAGATAAGATTTATAACAAACTCGGGATCCACTTTTCAGCACAGGTATGAGGTCAAGCGTTTAGCAAATTTAGGCAAAACTGTGTATGTACTTGTTCGACCGTGAACCACACACAATTATCTTCGAGAATTAAGCACTTTCATTGAAAAAAGTTGAAGAAATCATATATAAGTATACTTCTTAGTACAATGTACTCCTCTGGTACGCTGAATTGTGTGCGTTTTTATCGCATATTAGCGGTACTCATAGTTTTTAGTTATGCAGTCACTGCAATTATTACAACAACTCAAAACGCATTGCAACCGAGCATCGATAATGCTGTAAAGGGCGAAGTAACATCAACAAAAATTAACGATATACCAGTGAGTACACGTAATGCTGACGCAGTGCTTGCAATGTGCCCCACCATGCTGAACTATGTTTTCGACAATGCGACACCACGCGATGAAGCAAATGCTGGCACTTTCGAAGAGTATACATCATTGGACACTGGCCTGGGCGAAAATGTTGATTCACTGTCCTGTTTGGCTGCCTGTTGTAAAAAGGCGCGTACCAATGATACCTGTAATTTGGTTTTCATCTACAAGCGGAAATGTTACCATGTACGCTGCATCAGCAATGAGGGCTGCATGCCCAAACAACGGCCGCTGGGAAAGGATCGTCTGCAAATGATGCTGGTTAGTCCGGTTCGAAAGCATGGTATTGATGATGACAACATAACTTGGATGGAAGTAATTAAGGCAATGAAGAGCAATGGTGATGATTTTGATTTGATGCCTTCAGAAGGTATAAGTGGGGCTGAGCGACAGTCGAATCCTTTGAGGTTTTGGAATAAACAACATAAATTTCGATACTTTGGAAATCAAGTTAGTACACAAAGATTTCTCGCACACATGTCTTTAAAAACACTAATAAAATAATTTTAAATAGGAACCTGCATCCTATGATGAAGAGGATTTCCCTATAGCCGAAAAACGTGTAAAGCAGATGCTGTTGCCCCTGTCAGGGAACAGCGACGACCTGTCTTACTTTGGTGTAAATTCTGCGCCTGAAATAAATAAGTACGTAACATGCGAACTAGATTTATCTGATATGGGCGCAAATACACGTTGCGGGCCCAAAGAAGAATGTGTTCCTATACGGTCGAATTCAGCAACTGGTGTTTGCCAGTGTCTTGCTGGGCTTGTGCGTAATCAACAGCATGAATGTATGCCATCCGAAACATCGGCGGCTGATTATCCTATAATGGAAGAAATACTCTCACACCGACTCCCAATATCTGAAGCTGCATCAGAGTTGTCACCAACAGTAGTTGAGCAGAACAACGACTCGGACGCTGAACATGTTAGCGGCACCACCGTTAAAGCAGAGGCTGATAAAAAATTGATAGTTTCAGTAGTATCGAAGGAGGTGCAATTGCCGGAGAAAGAGGTGACACTAGCAGCATTCACTGTGCCCGATGAGGTTTCCAGTGCTAGTAAATATAAGTACTTGTGGACGCTAATAACCCAACCTAAAGGACCAATGAATGGCACCATTTCCGATCAGAGTCAATCAAAAGTTAAACTCTCAAATCTTTCTGAAGGCTTGTATATCTTCAAGGTATCGGTGACCGGTGACAATGGCACATATGGAGAAGCTTTAGCCAATGTAACAGTGCTGCCGGAAAAACGCATAAATCGTGTACCGCAAGTAGTGATTAAGCCGAAGGAACAAACCATACGACAACCAATCAATAATGCCATATTAGATGGCAGCACAAGCATCGATGACGATAAAATTATTAGCTGGCACTGGGAAGTGGTACAAGGTCCCATTGGTTATCAACCTAAATTGCCAGAGGTGAATACACTGCAGCTAACCGATCTTACCTCACCTGGAAATTACACTTTTAAATTAACCGTATCCGATTCCGATAATGTGACGAATTCGACAACGGCAAATATAACGGTGCTTAAAGGCACTGATTACCCACCTGTGGCCAATGCGGGTTAGTGTCCAAATTTATGAAGATATTTTTATGTAGTAGCAAAAAATTTTATACTTCCTAAGGTGATGCTGTAATTTTACACCTACCCAACAATAATGTTACTCTGAATGGCACCGCGAGCACCGACGACCACGAAATCGTAGCATGGGAGTGGACCAAAGATGCAGGCGATGACACTAAAGCTGTTGATATGCAGAACACGCGCACACCTTACTTACAGGTAGTTTTATATTATATAGTTAAAAAAAAAACTTACTATCAGACTTCCGAAATTTTTTTATTGCATATTTAAAAATAATTCTATATTTTTTGTAGCTTTCTAATTTAGAGGAAGGCATCTATATGTTCGTTCTAAAAGTAACCGATGGCAGTGGTCAATCCAGCACTGCCAAAGTCCATGTATTGGTGAAAGCGCAAACGAACACACCACCGGTTGCTGTGGCGGGTGGAAATCAGGTAATGAATTAAGAACTATCTGTGGCCAAGGTTAATAGATAATTATTTTTTATTAACTACCCTGCAGACCATAAATTTACCCCGCAACTGGGTTATACTAAATGGTTCGGCCTCAACCGATGATATACGCATAAAAAGTTACTTTTGGAAACAGAACTCTGGACCGAATACAGCCGCGCTTGCGAATAACACTGCGGTGGTGAGTATAATAGCCTTTAATTTTTTATTGAATTTAATAATAATAAAAATTTATGGAAAGGCCACCAACGCTACATCTTTAACACTCGGCTTGTATGAATTTGTTTTAAGCGTGGTCGACGAAGATAACAATACAGCTACCGATAGTGTTTGGATAAAGGTTGTGCAAGGTGAATTACTCATAAATATGTGCATGTTAAAAACAAATGCAATTATGATTTGCTTTAAACTCTCCTTAGAAAAAAATGCACCGCCTGTAGCCAACGCGGGTGGTGACAAAAGTGTTACATTACCGCTTTCTGCGCTCTACTTGAATGGCTCTTCTTCTTCGGATGACTTGGCTGTGGAGCGTTATGTATGGACGCGTGAGGAAAATAGCTTGGCAGCCGGTGTTGTCGTAGGCGATAGTGATAAAAAGGCTGTATTGATTGTACGTAAATTTAATTTTTTTAACCGCAGATTTTCTTTTTTCGATTAAGAAATGTGCGCAATTTCGCTGCGGGGTTTTGGGGTTCTATTTTAATTAAAATTCGAGTCAAGTATGTATCTTATATTTTAGCTAACGAACCTTGTTCATGGCCGCTATGTTTTCAAATTGACTGTTTACGACGAACAAGGATTATCCAGCAGCGATATAGTCAGTATTATAGTGCATCCTGACCCGCTGCTTATGAACTTGGTTCAATTAACATTGCCTATGGATGCATCTGTGCTGACTCAATCTGAGTTGAATTCGATTGTGCAAAAAATTAGCTTACTTTTGGGTGACATGAAAATAATTGTACGCGAGCTTAAATGCGATGGACGACGCGCAGATTCAACGATTCTAGTTTTCTATGTAGAGGTGTGCTTTTTGTACTTAATTTAATATTAACTAATGATTTACTAATACTTTCATTTCTCTGTCTTATCAAGTCCACCGGTTCCGATGGGAAAAGTCTACCTGTTAGTGGTTTGACGGTTGAGCAACTACTCAAAGATAAGTTGCAGCGCGATGCGGGTCTACTGGGCACCGATTTTACAGATATACGCACAACTGTGTGTCAGAATAAATGCTCAGGTCATGGTGTTTGTAATCCCACATCCCGCGCATGCACTTGCGAGGCATTCTGGATGCCATCAATAACATACTACTGGGGCATAGAGGAGGCCAATTGTGGTAAGTTGGTGTGGGGCATATACAATTTAAGAAATATTTTAACTAACTACTAAATGCTTATTTCTTTTTTTCTACAGATTGGTCCATTTTATATGTCTTTGTTGGAGTAATTATGAGCTTTCTACTGCTATCCGGCTTATTTTGGGGCATCACGTGTGCCTGCAGACAATCGAAAAAACCACCGAAACGACCAAAGTTACAAAAGTATTCATTAATTGGCAATAATGATGAGGAGGCACCACAATGTTAGTTTTTTAACATTGTATTTACTAGTTTAAATTGATTATTGTTTATTAATATCTGCATGATATTTTTCAGTTTGTCGCACAACATCGCTGAGCGATTCTGAGACGGATTCCGATGTGCTCTTCGAAACACGCACAAAACCAAATGGTATTCTACGTTCTAGCAACGCAGCAAAACATAGCAAACATCATAGCCATGCACCAAATAAATATGCCATAACTAAATTAGGTCGGAAAGTAAAGACGTAAATGAGTGTGATAATTGTTCCTTCAGCTGTGTACTTTCTTTGTAACTTTGTTTCTGTATGGATATAAGGGTCTGCATACACAAATAAGCTAAGATACATTTTATTTTTTAAGCCAAAACTGTGTTAAACAAATGCACTACAATGCAGGCATCTTAAAGGTCTTTAATATGATTTTGAAATTCTATTTAAGATGCATATTATTATTCTATATTTTTATTCATACATGCATACATATTAGGGATGTTTCGAATGTCATATTTTTCATAATGGCGAATGCGAATGCATATTTTCGGTATGCGATTGTGCGAATGCGAATGTTAGGAATGACATTAAAAAAGCTATAATCAACTGAAGTCATCGTTTTTATTACGTAAAAATTATGTAAATTATTAGAACATTGAACGAGTGCTTAACCTATATCTAATAGTCGAAGTTCAAGAGGGACATATTACATTTTCAAAAAAAAAAAAAAAAAATAATTTTGCTGCCATTTCTCCCATGAGGCGATTTCTTAGAGGCTCATATATAAGGCCGGCTGCACTGAACAATTGCTCACTTGGAACGCTAGCGGGTGGAGTGCTCAAATAGTATTTGCGGGCCAGATCTGTCAATTTATCGTATTTGTGGTTAGTTTTCCACCAATCTAGAGGATTTTCACTGAGATGGGCTCGTTTTTCTTTATGATAGGCCTTCAATTGAGCATAATTTTACATTTTTTTTTTGCCTCCAGATTCTACATCCGAGCCTTCACTTTCGCTGCAGGAATCTAAAATTATTTCTAGGTTGCTTATAAGATTTTTAGCAGCAGGCCCATCAATGTTGCTTATATACTAATTAAGCGTTTAGCAACTGATGCTAAAAACCGGTTGTTGTCCGCACCCTGGTTAGACAGACTTAGAGCCAATTTAAAAATATTACAGTAGGCTCTCTGCTCATGTACATACACATTCGCATTCGCAAAACATTCGTATCAGTTGATGCGAATGCGAATGTGTACAATGATGCGAATCATTCGCATAACGAATGCATATGCAAATATTCGTTACATCCCTGATACATATGTATACATACGTATTTTTAGTAAAACCGTAAAGCACTGAAAGCATTCCGCACATTATTAAGTATTAATCTGTTTATATTTTATGTATATCTACGTATATTTTTATATTTATGCATTATCATGATATACATATGTATTGTCCTATGCTCCATATGCATTTTTATATTTATTTATTAAGAACAAAAAGTCAACAAAACGTGCTTTTTCTAACACGTTGTAAATGTGTATGTAGTGTAATCGAGTCTAATGAAAAACAATTATACAATAGCTCTTTATGTATGATGAATGTACTTATAAAGATGAAACATTAAACTATTTACTTGAATAGTGTAAAACCACAAATGCTTTGATTTTCATTTTTTTTTCTGTTTTACAAGCATTAATTTTCCGGTGTATTTCTTTGTATTTATATACATTTTTAATAATTTGTAAATTAGTAACTAGAAAATTTTCGTTTAAAATTATAATACAAATTCTTATTGTAAACATCGTAGAGTGGATGCTTTCGCACTACATATTCGAAGTGTAGCCACTCGCCGGCTATGGCACAGATGCCCAGAAAATAACCAATGCCAAGCGCTATAAATGAGCTCCATATCTTTGGCAAATCCATTACTGCCTCTTCTGGTGTACGTTCCTCTGCGGGGAGCTCGGCAATGGCATCCTTTAGCCATTTGGCGGTGAGACCTATTTATGAAAGTGGTATAGTAGAATTTAAATGGGTTTAGTAAAAAAAAAAATATACATACGCTGGATGTCGCGGAAGTAACACATTTCTAAAGCGTGTGTTTTAGTGTCTTCGACTTACCTCCTTCACTGAGCCGTCTCAAATATTTATTCACATTCGGCTGTAGTGGCGAATTCTTCTCCAAACCCAAAGACACTGGCATTTGTATGACACACTCACGCATTATATGCAATACAACTTCGGCTATTTGTTGCTGCTCGCGGCGCTGTGCGCCTTTCATGCGTAAGTACCGCAAAAAATATTCATTATCGAAATAAGCATATTCACCTTTAGTAATGCGGTCAGTCTGTAAGTAAATAGCATTTTTTATAAAACAAATTGAATAGGCATTAAAAGAGAGTTAAAGCATTTAAAAAAGTATTTCGCTTCTACTCACCACACTTTCAATATCATCCACTATTTCCATTTTTTCTCCAATTTCTTGAGCCACCTCATCGAATGACTCCACAAAGAATTGCTTATTCTCCTCAACCCAAGCAGTGCTGGTTACATAGCTCTTGGACAGCTCTTCCAGGGTGTCAATAGTAATACTAAAGCAAAAACAAAGTAAAAGTAAAAAAAAAAACAAAACAATCATAAGCTCTAAATAGCCAAGCGCCGAATGATTTTACCGCGCTGTTGGATTCGCCAGAATCGCAGTTAAACTCGCTCGATAGATGACCGTTAGCAAAATGCAATAGAGCCAATACCAGCCAGTGAGCACGCGTATACTCCAAATACGCGGTAGGCGTGGCAATGAAACATACATTAACATGCTGTAGGTGTAGAGCAAACAATTTGAGTATTCATCGAAGAGATCCACATTACGTTGTGGTAGTGATTTCAAACGGCTCAGATAACGACGAAAATGTACGTCCCGAAAAAGTTTAGCATCGAAACTGTGACAAGGCCGTGAGAGCCCTTTACTGCGCCATTCTGTCCAATTTAAAATGCGATGAGATGAACGAATGCGACGCTGTAGTAGTATGGCGTGTAGACTGGATATTATATAGAAAACTGTGCCCACAATGAATAGGGATAGAAGTACACCAGCCCACATGCCGCCACTAGAGGACGATATAGCGACGGAAACGGTATGGAATTGGAAAAGTTAAAAGGCAAAAAAAAAGATAAACAAAAAACGGTTTTATTCACCTGAACGGCTGTATTAGGGTGCGCCAGCTATCATCCTGCGAGGACTCAGGTGTCAGAAATGTTAAACATTCGAAGCTATGAGGCCAAGAGAGATCCATAACGGAGGCATAGAGTTTATACATATGCAAATTACCAATGGCGAGACGTGCACTGCGATGCGCCTAAAAAAACATAGCCAGGAAATGGTCGCGAATTTGAAAAAAAGGTCACGCACTATTCTACTGGGAATAAGAAATTATTTTAATAGAAGTAAATAGATACATCATTTATACTGCCGAGTTTATACATATAAAAAACTTTCCATCGAAGAAAGCCAGATCAAATAGCAGCACTACTCAATTTATGTAGCACCGCGAGGTAGTCATAAAGTTTCGGACACGCCCAGTATCAATTACCGGGAGTTGCTCAGGGTTTGTTACTGTGAACCAATATACTTCAATATTCGCCTCGGGAAAACGGCAGTACTGTTAGAAAGTGCCCATCTCGTCATGCTCCAGGCAACTGCCACAAAAAGGATTAGATATGGGTGTTTTTGTTGTTGTAGCGACACTATTAAGCCCCGCTTACTGCGGTTTGGCCATCAATCATTGTCGTTGAGCTCAACTAACGGTAGACTAACAAAACGAGCAGTTTCTATAGGACCGGACCAAAGGGAGAGGATAAGTAGCTGTTGAGATGGCTAAAGTATCCAGACCGTAACTGGCCAGAGCAAGGCGGGTCTTTCTTGGCAGTTGAAGCTCCAAGTCAGACACAGGTGGTGACTGGGCTCCCTATAAATGCCGTTGATCGCACCTCGGTACGTCATCGGGTCCAGTGGTTCGACGATGTAAGTCTGGACCACGTCCAAGTATACGAATAGATACCCCCTTACTTGCCTGGGTGGAGGCTCCTCCTCTAGCAAGGGTCTGTTGGGGTGTTTACGTATGTGTAATCCCACCAGAAACTGTTTGCTTAGCATTTTGTTGTGCTCCCTTACGGGACGCATTTGACCCTCGTTCAGATAACATCAGAAGGCATTCTGCCGCCTCCGGAGTGCGGACTTTACATTTTTGACAACTGCGGTTGTGTGCGCGGCTAAGGCGAGAAGGCTATCAAAGGGAACCCCTAAAAATGTCGGGCTGTTCGCCGTCGGAATTTGCGTACCATTGACGTGAATGCGTAGTTGGAGCCGGACCTCCTTCGTCCAGGTGGTGAAGAGGGTCACCGTTGATTTCGTTGGGGCTCCTTGCAGTGGAGAAGCGAGAAAGCTCGCAAAGATAGCGGTTTACTTTTGAACAGAGGTTATTAGGATATTCCCTCCGGTGGCTGAGGGAGTTTCGAAATGTAGAAGCAAAACAGTAAGGGGAGAGGATACCACCTCGTGAAACCCCTTGTTTGATTCTTCTAGGTCTTGAGGTTTGATTTAGAAAGATTACTGACGACTGTCGACCACCGTTTGAGTCCCTGTGGGAGAGAGGAAGCCTTAATGTCTTCTAGCAGCGTGGAATGACAAGCCGTTTGACAAGTCGAGCGCTACTAAAACTATTCTCTCACAGGGGCGCTTACGGTTTAGGCCAAGAGTTATCTGGGTTTTTATGACATTAAGTGCTGTTGTTGTGCTGTGCACTTTACGGAAACCATGCTGATGCTTCGCTGGGGTCAGGTAGTGTGTGACGTCAGATAGGAGCAGGGCCTCAAGTGGCTTCGCGACCGGGGAAAGGGGTGCTATCGGGTGATATGAGTCTCCTTTGTTGGCGGGTTTCCCTGCTTTCATCAGTGGGACCACTCTCCCGATTTCCACACATCGGGAATGATGAGAGTGGATATTAACGGGTTGAGGACCTCGGTGAGATATGCTACTCCAGCGGCTCCCAAATGTTTCAGCATCAGCACATTCCGTCGTTTCCAATGGCCTTGGAGGCTTTCGCCTTCTCGATGGCCACCTTGATTTAACCGCTGGTGATGTTTAGCCTTATCTAACGAAGGATGCATTGTGAATTGCAGGCTAAAATAGCTCGCGCAATTCATCGGGTCCGACGAAGCGCGACCACCGAATCGCCGTAGTAATAGATATGACGAGGTACGAATAGCGATTACGCGGCTGAAAAACAACAAAGCTGCTGGAGCTGACGGCCTGCCAGCCGAGCTATTCAAGTACGGCGGCGAGGAGCTGATGAGGTGCATGCATCAGCTCGTATGCAGAATATGGTCAGATGAACGCATGCCCGACGACTGGAATTTAAGTGTGCTCTGCCCAATCCACAAGAAAGGCGACCCCGCCATACGCGCCAACTACCGCGGAATTAGCCTTCTAAGCATAGGTTACAAGGTCTTATCGAGCGTATTGTGCGAAAGACTGAAGCCCACCGTCAACGAGCTGATTGGACCTTATCAGTGTGGCTTTAGGCC